CTCTCTCTCTCTCTCTCTCTCTCTCTCTCTCTCTCTCTCTCTCTCTCTCTCTCTTCGCGTGTGTTCAAATTCTTAAAAATACACAATGCTTGACCACAAACAGCGCGCGCGAAGCGCGCGTTCTGTCATGTCTAGTATTTCTAAATTGTAAACCTTCATTTACTCTGAACCTAAAAGAGAAGTAAAGCACATCGCGCTTCGAGAAAATTAATCGGCATCGCGGAGAAGGGCCTTAACTGTTCGATATTAACGACATTCGCGCTGGTAACATCTCTTTATTAGTGAGGGACAAGCGCGCGCTTTGCGCGCGCCATTTGCTCTCTTTATACATTCGCATGGTTTGACAGCTACTTTCCCAACCTTGTTAATAATTGATGTCAAAGTTAACTAAATTAATAATCGAGTCAAGAAGAAATTTGAAAAATGCTGAGAAATGTCTCTCTCTTTTGGCCTGAAATTATTTAATTAATAAAACATAAACACATTTTTGATACATGTTACACATATGCACATATTGTGTTACCGCAATTATACAGTAATTGGCGTTTCGCACGATTACTCGCCCAAGTTAAACGTGCGAATACAACTAGACTAATCAGCTCTATTCTTCGATATCTCTGTGCTTTTTAAATTCATGTCTCCTTTATTTTTACCGTGATCCGCGCCTCTTTTTTATTTGATGCAAAACGATTATAGACGTCAAAGTGAATGTACGCGTAAACAAACACGGATTGCTCGTACTGCGGAAATATTCACGTACGCCAATTATAACGTTAAATTGTTTACGAAGGTGCATGTATGTATGTATATATATGTATATATATACATATACATACATATATATGTATGTGTTCTCCGCTCGTGCGCCACCGCGTTTAATTTGATAATTAATACCAAGCGGCCGCTTCATAATTCGGTTATAAATTCCACGAATCATGTTTCTTGATTGCGGCAGCAATTTCAATTCGACGGCACGATCATAATCGGTATTTGTTGAATCGCGAGCGCAAATAAGACTGCGATAGATGGGATTAATCGGGGGCCGGATAATCGAATTTATGGTACTATTAATAAACATTATGAGTCGCCGGCGATATCGCGCCGATGTATCGCCGATACGCGCAACCTAATGCGCATTCAGATTAGTATTTTGACAAATGCGAAATTGTTATAATATTTGTAAATTATAGCGTCACCGATAGCGCGCCGGCAGATACGTTTTCCGTAATAAATGTATTACGTGACGTGTACCGGAAGAGACACGTTTTGGCACACTTTCTCTAACCACGGATAATAAACCCTCGTGCTGTAAGAAGAATGCTGTTGCGCTGGCAAATGCAATAGGTAAATAATTAAATAATTTTCTTCAAGCAATTCAAACAATTTTAACTGAAAGAACATTTCTCTCTCTCTCTCTCTCTCTCTCTCTCTCTCTCTCTCTCACTCTCTCTCGCTCGCTAGCTCGCTCTCTCTTTCTACAAGATTTATTTTGGCGAGATCTTTTTAATCTTGATTCATTCATGAGATTTCCATATATGCGAATAAGAAATATGGCTTTTTGTTAAATCTTGAGTGATATATAAGGTTCACCAACGAATTCTTAGTCGAAAGAAACAGCACTTTTGGGAAAAATGAATTTGACGCTTGTATACAATTTGTTTTCTCTTTCTTTCTCTCTATGGGAATAAACTTTGAAAGATTCAACGGCGCGCGAGCTTGCGCCGGGGAGATTTATGTAAGTCGCTGTTACGTGATGCTGTAACAAATTTAGAACACGACTCGCGTCGTGCTAAACGGCAATATATGACGAATGTCGCGGCGCCCGCGGTGAAAGTTCACCGAGATCGCCGCGAGGTTTAATCAGTTCCTCCACCCCTTGCAAAACTGTCGGATGTCAACGTCAATGAGTCTTCGAATCGGACCCCTGGGCGACCTTTTGGAAAGTCCCCGGATAGATGACTGGCCTGCGAAAACGGCACCGCGCGCAGATTATCCGCGATATCACCGTGACGTGTTAATTCTCGATATCAGGGAAGCGCGGCGCGTCGCCGTTCGATCATTAGGAGAAGATGAAAGCGGCCGAGGAAAGAAACGCGTTAGCACTGATTCGTATCTCCCGTGTCTTAGGAGTGGCATGGATTGACAGCTCTGGAGATTCGATTGCTCTGTACATCGTTTCCTCTTTAGACGTCAGGTCTCTTTGTACGGATGGAGGCTCGATCGTCAGCAATAGCGTAAATCACGCGGCATGAAAAGAGTCGCGAGGGGAATGTGTCGGAGTTAATTTGTATTTGCCATGTCCACCGCGCGTGGAATGACAGCTCGCCTCGATCTTCCGCGCCACCCGCTCGCCGCGCGGGAGACCAACATTTTTATTAACCCTCGAGAGTATCGCGAGACCCTCCGAGGTCACGAGACTCACCCGAGCGCGTCGTAAAGAGATATTTAAAAAAAATGCAGTTTCGACCGCTGTCACGAAATCGCTCAAATCGTAGCGCTATTTGCGCTCACGAGTCGAGATTTAGCTGACCCTGCTGCAACATCTATTTTACTCGAGCCTGCTCTCGTGGCAAGTTTACATAAGGAATGAATTTAATTAGATTGTTAGTGCCATGACTATGCAATTCAACGTTGTTAACGCGCGAGCGGTTGAGTAAACAAGCTCCGTCGAGATGTGTAAACTCTCGTTGCACCAGACGAACGTAATCGAAGCTATCCGCGGTCCCCATATGACGCGCGTTACATAAGGCGCGCGCGCGCGTCTTTGTCCACTCCGCGCGATTGATTAATGATAGCGTGCAAGGTCCGCTGTAATAAAGACGCGCGCAGCACACAGCTGTGTTTACAGCGATGTAATATCTTACAGTAATAGTCGCGCGACTTTCTACCGTAAATCAGGCCGACGTAATTGCGGCGGCCGACGTATCCATGGGTGATTGTTGACGCCCGATCACGCGGGACTCGTCGTTCCAGCTTTAGCCGCGCGTCCAACTGTAAATTCCGGAAGTGCGCGAGCGAGCTGAAGGGCATCTTCGATCAAGGATTAATCTAATCAGGGATCAATTCTGTTACACACGTGTACTAAGGAAGTGAATTAATTCTTAATTCGCGGAGAACGGAGACGGAGAGTGAGAGAGAGAAGCAACACACGCTGTGATTAGCCGCAAATTTTCGCCGCATCCTTCCTGGTACGCCCAAGGATCCGCAGCGGAGTCTCGCGCGCATTTTCGTCGAGGGATCAGGTCTATTAATAGAATAGCAATGTCTCTCCTGGGATGCAACGTTTATTCTTAATGCACCGCGACACATATCTAACGTTGAGCCAGTTACATGGTCGTGGCGCATATTGCGTCTCTTCAAATACATATATAATATATTAATACAATACAATACAATAAAATACGCATGTGTGTGCATAATATCGCGTGCAATAAATATTTACAACATTTGAACAAAATTTGAACCGGAGCAATCCGTGTTCGCCCCGAGGGCGAGGACGACGACGCGCGCGGCCGACGGCGGCCGCGCTCGTCGTCCGGTGTCACCGGCGAGTTTATTACCGTGAATCGTCTTCCATTCTCATGGCGGGATAATTACTCGTGGAGGTCGTGAGATCACATGCTGGGACGGCGGCGCCGGGGGTCGCTGCTTTACACCTGGTTCTCGTCGTCCTTGGACGGATGCGCCGCGTTCCACTCGAGGGCCTTCAGTATCAGCGGCGGGATTTCCGGCGTGGTGGGCAGATGAGCGCCCACCGGCTGGAAGCCGTTCTTGTCGGCCACGTACGTCAGGGAGATCGCCTGGCCGTCGTCGCTCGCGTAGCTGAAGCCACCCTCCGCCTTCATCGCCTCGTTCTCGGTGCCGACATCCTCCAGGTGGCCCTCCTCCTCGGCCTTGATACCGTTGCCGGCCTCGTAATTCCACTTGTACGACCCATCCGGATTGGGGCCCTCCTGGCTCTGGCTGACGATCGGTATTGGCTCGTCGGCGGGCGCTGCCGCGACGCAGGCTGCCAATGCGATCAAGGCTACCTGGCGATAGAACGAGAAAATGTATTCAACATTAGCCGCGGAGGAGATAAATAGTGTATAGTCGAGTTGGCAAAAATAATGCAGACGTGGTCACGGCGTCGTATTTTAATATAGAAAACTAGGACTGTTTCACTGTAACTTTAAACATTGCAATCTAATTAACGCAATTATCTTAATGGCGTAAACATTTAATACTCTTGAACAGATTCAATTGCTTTTGTAAAGTAATGAAGACCGATGGGATTAGTATTTATTTAATAGTCATCGTTAAATCGTTAGAAAAACGTTCGTTGTCAATTTATCACTGGGAAATGCCGCGGTGACAGATTTACTCTGTCGCGACTATCTTAATTAATCTTTTTTCCCCTAAACCATGTTTCATCCATGTATCGATGTCCTACATTTACACCACGCGTAACTTTCACATCTCCGGTTAAGGTAGACGCTTTAACAGCTAAATAGAAGCTGCGAGTAGAAGATTTTAATACTGATCGATCGAAATCGCTTCAACGTGACATTATGTTACGAAATCCCGCGGTATCGGCCGTCACATCAAAGTCGAGATTACAAATCGGCAAAAGGATCCAGCACGAGCGCTGAGATGAAAGTAAAAGTAATACATTCATCCTTGGAGATTAAAGATACAACAATTAATTCCGTAGGTCGATCTGTTGCTCGTCAATATCAGACCGGGGATCTCGATTAAGGTGATGATTGCGCGCAAAACACCCGCGGCGAATACAATTTAACACTCGCGCGCAACGACAGAGTATCGAAGTCGCGGTATCCGATAACAACGCTGGATCGCGGTGCAGGTGACTAAGTGACCTTAGTCAGCCGCCACCGGTTAAGTTTCCAAGTGCATAAACATCGGATGAACATTAGCCTTCTCGTTAGCTTCCCTGTTTGAGGCTTGCGTTCGTTGCACAAGTGTTTATGCGGTGCGCGCTAATAACTACCGCCACTTAGACATTCTCGGCGACGCGATTTTGCGCGCGACGTGACGATTCGCGGAGTGAATCAGAGGCAATGACCGCTCTCGAATATAATTGTCGAAATATTAGATATTAATATTGAAATATTCGCTTTTATCGAAACATTAATTGGCTCTCGAATTTCGGCGCATCGCGACCCTTCCGTTTATCACCGATCCGTGTTATCGCCGATTTCATTTCAACGTCGATATTCGAAAATGCTAGATCGGTTCTGCGGCGACGAAGAAAGTTCTGCGAACCGGTGGCAAGCGGGCGCCGCGCGTCGCAGTAGTGATACCGTTTTGAGTCAGACACGACGGGATCGCGGTAGTATCAGCGTTATTAGGTCAGACGCCGCGCCTCGGATAAACTGAGCCTCGCGATGCTGACGATTTTTGTCACCATTGTCTAAACTCTACTGCCTTGGCCAAAAGGCCTTGCCACCCCCCGTCCATTCTTAGAAATGTAGCTCCTTTGGATTCTAACTACTTTGTACGTTGTTGCGTATCGGCACGCAATAAATATTCCCATTTTCATCAACTAGTATTGTTTATTTAACCTGATTGTCAAATAATTTAAAGTTATTGGGGTTTCACATAGGTGGCAAATATTTTTCATCGAAGCTGTATAATCTTTTCAGCAATTATTGGACGCTGCGAATTAGACGACGTATCCTTGGCTAAAAGGCGAAAGCATGAATTTTAATGTAACAATTCTTTAGAGATTTCACTGAGCAAATTGTACCGAATGTACTTGCTTGTCGAAAACTGAAATGATCAATTATTTTTTAAGGACATGCTATTATGCCTAGTGACTCTTTGGCTTTGCCGAATGTCGTTCTGCGTGAAACGCTGTTGACATTATTGACACACCGAAAAAAAAAAAAAATTTCGCTACCGTAACTAATCATGGTTTGCTGAAAAGATTTTGCTCCCATAATTATAAATTTCTAAAGCACAGCAAACAGTTTGCTGTCACACCCAATACAGTAGGCACAGTAGCAAAATATTTAGCTATCACAACCAAATATTAGCTGTCCATATTTCACAACTAAAATTTAGTTGCCACATGCAATTTTTAGCTACAGCAGCTACGGTTTTATTTCCGTGCAATAAAAAAAAACGTGTAACTATTTCTATTGTTTAAATGTACGGTACATACACGAGTAAATATGTTTTTAAAAAAGGGGCGAAAGGAGAAAGTAAATCAATAATTTACGTATTGTGATAAAAGTCTCGAAAAATATATTGTTATAAACTTGCGAAAAAATTGCCAACTAACAATAAGTATTTTAACCGTTTCGGTAGTTTTCGTGTTAAAGTACAAATTGGAAGGTAATCGTGGAACGAGATATCGCTGTCTCGCACTTTTGCTTCCCGCGAGATAAAACTCGGTATTTTCGCCAAAGTAAGACAGTCTCAGCCCCCCCGGTTGGAGCGTATTGTGCCGTTCGTTGTCAAACATTTCGCGCGCGAAAGCGTAACACGCGAGCATGGCAGATTTCGGGGTGTATCCCGGCGGTGTCGATCGATATCTTTACACCAACGGTCCTCCGGGACACGCTACTTACCCTCGGATCCCGGCTCGCCCCGCGTTCCTACCCACCGACATCCGAGTCCCCGGAGCTACCCCGGGCACGCTATACCGGATATAATCGAGAAGTGTCACTTACAACAACGTAACTCACAGAGGGTCTCCCGGATATACGCGCACAGGGATCCCCGTTCGCCGGGGACCGGAAATGCACGTCGGATTGCACACGACCCAGCTACGATTACCCGCGGATTGTCTCGCGGCGGAAGTGCCCTCCGGCATCCTCGCTCCCCAGCGCCTCTCTTCCTCCGGCCCTCCGCCCTCCGCCCCCTCCGCCCCCCCCCTCTCCCCGCGCGAGATTTTTTCCTCTTAATTAAACGCTTACCAATGACGTGTACATGCTGCGGCAGTAATCGCTGATGGGCAAGTGTTTATCAAGCCCCGCAGCGCTCGTCGTATATATACCCCTGGAGGCATCACCAACACCACCGACCGGCCGATGCACCGATGGCCACCACGTTACGGTACGTATGTAGGATGCACATGGGGACACGCAGAGGGGCCGCGCGCGGGGACAGACAAGGGGGGCTTTACACGGATCCGCGATTTAACACGGCGTTACATATGTGTGTACGCGTGTGTGAGCGCGCGTCGCCGCCGGTGAGCCGGAGAGACAACACCACTCCACATCAGCGTCGCGGAGAGACCATCCTTCCCCGAGATCACCATGTCACACTGCGCTAAATGTCATCGGGTCCCCCGTTGGAGGATTGCTTGCTCAATTGTCGCGATTTCTTTAAACGACGCTCCGCGCGCGGGGGATCCGCTTTTCTTCTACGTCGGCTTAGTCGCCCGGAAGCGCGGACGCGGCGAGTCGCGGTCAGCCTCCGGCGTCCTCTCCGGCGGGGACCCTCGTCGGCGCGTTCAGCTGCGAACGCGGCATTTCTACTCGCTCGTTTCGTTAATCGAATTTCCTCGGGGGTTTTCAAGTATTGTACACGGGAAGAAAAATGATGTTGTGTCAACGGGGTCGGTGCAATTGAAGTAAACTCGTTGAAACAACATCAGCATCAATGAATGAGAAACGTCGGGTTGTCTTAATAATCTGGATATTTAGTTTAGCTTAGAATAAAAATCCATAGCAAATACACTCGAGTGAATTGTTGATGTTTGTGGTAGCCCGTGACGTTAACGTGTAATCCAAGCAACGTCATTGTTTCCGTGCATTTGTTTTAAAATTAAATTACAATTCGTTTGTCCATTTAAATACGTGAATTTACCGACGACGACGATTCCATCTGAATGAAACTGTGTCATGTCCGAAAGGAAACCGGCGCGCAGGACAAGGTGGAAGAACGACATATGAATTCACATTTTAGATTACAATTATCGGGCTACCTGCAGCTTGCTCGGACCTAAAGGCGCTCTCGTTTGTTCGAATTATATTTATTGTCTAAAGGAGACGGGAAAATACGCGAAATGCGCGCTGTTACGCAACTCTCCTGTCGTTCGCCTCTTTCGAGCTTGTGCTCTCTCGCTAGTTTCTCCCGCGGCGAGTTGAAGAAAGTCGACGTTTCAGCAAACGCTTTTGGCTACCAGGCAAAGGATCCGGCAGGTTCGGTGGATAACAACCACCGTTCCCGTGTCTATCATATTTTCAATCATTCGTGCATTCGAGCACCGTTACCGTCAGATTAAAAGATCGAGAGCGAGTGCTCGAGAGACTGTTTCGCCGTGCCGCTGTCGCGCAGATTTATGTTGTGGATTTTTGTAAAAAGCTGTACCCTTCATTTGAACAACGCATGCACGTGACGCATATGGGAACAGCTTAAACCCGTACCTTCCGTCGGATTTATTAGACAGGCGCCGCCCATCGCTGCGGTATTTTCCTAGGCGATACACAGACACGGTGAGGCTTAATTCTTTTTCTATTATTTTCCACCTTTTTTGCTCCCCCCTAATAGTTTTATCGCCTCATCGCTCACGCAAGTGTTGCGCAACGTTAATCACCGCCACTGACGCGCGTTTCGCATTTCTAATCAACGAATCACGCCGTTAAACAATCAGCTGGCCAAATGACTATTTACCTTGATTTTTTTCTAATTGCAAAGTCAAAATTGCTCACGATTCGGGCGCGACGAAATCAAACGGAATCCCGCAACCCCCCGGGCCTGCGAATCGACTGACAAACGCACGACACGCGCGGTCGAATTGTCCGCTCTCTAATCAATCGGAAACGGCCTGACAATCTCTCATTATCGGCTGATAATTATGTGAAGCGCCGTGTTATATCGCATTTACCTCGTCATGGCTGAACTTTCCGTAACTGCGAGAATAACGAGCTCGCGTCGAGCGTTTAATCGAGGCGGTTGTAATCGAGAAGTTTCGTGCAAAAAAAAAGAACCACAAAATGAACGAACAGAACCTAGGCTTCGGCCCTCGGCGTAATGGAATTGTGAGAGCAACAACGGCACGCCGAAAACTTTCTCGCTCGGGATGGGTTACGCACGATCCTGAGAGCGTTCCCTCGCACGCGTGATAACGCGAGGCAAAAGGGGTCTTTTTCTTCGTTTCGTACGCGGAGTCGCGTGTAATAATATTAGATTTTTTGCCTTACGATATTATTACGTAACGCGCGACAGTGCACGATGGTGTGTACGGCTGATATAAAGCGATGCATGTGCCGGAAGCTGCAGGATTATGCATGCACCTAACATGCGTGTCTAATTAATAATCAATGCTGTACCATTGGGATGTTTGAGATTGTCAGTAAATATCGCCGATCAGATATGTTAATGTCTCCGCACGAGATAGAAGGGGTTATATTTGTCTGGGAAATTCCGCGCCGGGTGCGTTCGCTGGAAGTATAATACGCGCTCGCGATTATCACGTTGCCTGCTCAGCGAATTTTCTCTGTCTTATAATCGTGCGCGCAGTAGAATTTTCATTATCGCAAGAGCATGCACAAATATCGTGTAACACATAATGAAATAAGTTAAAATATTGTGAGAAATAATTAAATACGCGTGAGCGCTGTACTGAATCGTTTTTTAATTTGTGTCATTGATTTTATACTATATCCAGAAAAAAGATTTAGTTATGTTGAACAAATGAGATACGTTGAAATCATGTTTCTTTGAATCTACTAACTTTTTATTTACTTCCACTAAAACACTTGCCAGATTATTTGAAGAAGTAGATATGAATTCTCTTAGAATTTCCAGTCTCGATCAAATACAACTTTGGTTAAGGTAAAGAAATCATTTCTGTGAAATGAAATAAAAGTCTAGTAAGGCCAAAATTCAAAGAAATTTGTTTCATTTCAAGCAAAGCTCTTTCTGGATGTAGGCGATGTTTACTTTTTTAGGCCCGGTTTTTCATTTGCTGGTCAACAGTTAACCAGAAAACGAAAAACCAGGCCTTACAAGTATTTTAAAAAACCTGGCTGTGGTAATATTTTTTGCAATAAATTTTAAAATAGAAATTATTTAACAAACAAAGTTTAATAGGACCATTATGACATAAATCCAACAAGCGAGATCGCTTTTAGGTCCGAGCAAGATGCTGATAGCCGAATAATTGTAATTTAAAATGCGAATTCATATATCGTTTTCCACCTTGTCCTACGCGCCGGTTAAAATTATTTAACATCCTGTCTCGGCTCTCATTCCTTTATTCCTCCGAATCTGTGATCACATCAGAGCCTTATGCATTTATTAGTCATTAAAAATAATTTTGACAGCGCTAGTTATCAGTGATTACTAGAGCGCCATCGGAAAGACAAACCACCATGGCAATCAACGCGTTAAGACATAGAGGCAACATGAGAAATTAAATATTGCGGAGTCGATTTCGGAGTTGGATGAAAATGTAAGTTGTCGAGATGTTCGGTATCGAGTAGAATCGCGGGGATATAATCGCGATTAATCGCATTAATTAGTAATAATTTAGCGACGCAGTCCCTCTTGTCCTCTTCCTTGGGGAAACTTTGGGGGACTTGGGGGGGAGGCCGTACATTTTCCTACGTGCGATTATTGATCGTGGACATTACCGGCGAGGTATACCGATGTAACATTAGACAGGATCCGACGGGGGAACAGTGAATTATGCCTCGATGGGCATTAGTTTTCTTCTTTTACGGGAAATGTAAGGGGCACGTAGCACGACGATAAATTCTCGCGTGTCTCGAGGAATGCCAGCTGCTCGCCGCTTCGCAGCGCCCATGTACCCGCGTGATTCACAAAGTCACGTCATCGATATATCCGAACGATTTTCTCGCGGGAGCGCATTTGCATTTTGCGCTCGCTAGCCGCCTTAGGGAAGCGTGAAAGTCACGGGGGGGGGGGGAGGGTGTTGGTTTAAAATAATCCGTTAATCGGAACCAGGAAGGGAACGCCGGGGCAGAGGAGGAACTAGGAAGGTGAGCGACTCTCTTGAAAGTCGAGGACGCTCGACAAGACAAATGCTGAAATGCGTCTCGCGTTTGCTCATTGAATATTTTAGCGCGCCGCGGATTATATAGCGAGACGTCGGCGCGGCCCAAGTACAGTAATTTACAGCGCGATAATTTTGCGGTAAGATAGCATTTACGAAATATTATATAGGAAAACGGGAGCTTTGTCCAATGTACAGTCATATTCAGTAATGCCTGGACAGTTTTACTATAAGGATTCACATTTTCATAATCTTTATTCTACATCGACGAGTTTCAGGCTCTAATTGACACAGCTTAGAAGTCTGTGGTAGTATATACATACAGCCTGAGTTAACTCATTGTCAGTGATCTGTATAGATGAGCAAAATGATGATAAAAATGCAGGTCCAGGCATTAATGAATCAGACTGTACATACATTATTTTTGGTCTAAGCGGATATTTTAAGGTGAAAATCATACGAGTTGATTTCTTTATTTTAAAACGTGACTTTTAATAAAAAAAAACTAGTTATATGCTTTCAACTATGCATAAAGTTCTACGGGAAAATTTTTGAAAACCGTTATGCATTAAAAGTAATGAAGTGCTTCGCGCAACGGTCGTTTTAACCGATGAAAATCTAGTGTGAAAAAAATCTTCTCTAAAAATCGTTTGATAAAGATTCGATTGTTTCAGCTTTCGGTAGCTCACTGTCGCGCAGTTTGAAATTACATATTATGTTATAGAGTTCGAATCCGCGGATTATTTCGGATATGGACCGTTAATTGACGGGCGAGGGAACTGAACGATCGCTATCTGGCCGGTCGCGAGGACGATCGTCCGGTGAATATAGGGGAAAGCTAGCGCGTTTGGGCCTTTAATTAGTCGTATTACGTAACGCGACCGTGTCGCGTAGGTAGGCGCGAATTGCGAATAAATATCAGTCGTGAAAGCGACCAACGGTCTGCTTATCTCGCGATTTTTAGGAGCGCGTTTCCAAAGGGGGTGCAATCTCGAAGAGATCGGCCGCCGATCGTTAACGCAATCGAAGCTCTCCCGTTGTCGAGCACGT